ACTGCCTCAATTACATGCACAAGATTTTTGATACATGTGAATCATGTATTAAAGGAAAATGACTCGAAAATCATTTTCTTTGCATTAGACTTGTACAAATTTACTTGAGATAATGCATACAGATTTATGTGGACCAGTGAGAACTAAAACCTATAGATGAATGAGATATTGTGACTTTCATTGATGATTATTCCCGTTATGGACATGTCTACTTCTTAAAGCATAAAAATGATGCCTTAGACAAATTTAAAGAGTTCAAGGCAGAAGTAGAAAACTAATTAGGAAGATCTATAAAGACCATTAATAGTGATAAAGGAGGAGAATTTGAAGCCTTTGAAGCCTTTTATTGAAACTACTGATTTGGTTCATCCAATACAAGAATTGGAATCTTTGGAAGAAGAAAATTCCCCTACGGATGATCAAGATCCATCTTGATTTTTAGACTTGTCTCATGATCATGACACTAGCAATGATCAAGTGGGAGACGTAAACATGGGTGATCATAATAATGTCGATCATGACATACACATGGATGATGATCATGACATTATCATGGAAGATATAAATAGTGGGAGAAATTATCAAATCAGTGGAAGTAAAAGACAAAGGGAACTATCTAGAGGATTGAAAGATCACTTTGTTTTTAATCTTGATAAGGTAAATCATTTAATGGGAGATCTAGACCCAAGGAATTATAAAGAAGCAATGGATAGTTTTGAGTCTGAACAATGGTAACAAGCCATGAATGAAGATTCCATAAAGAAAAATGAAGTTTGGGAATTGGTTGATCTACTTTATGGAAGAAAACCCATCGGTTGTAAGTAGGTACTTCGTAAGAAGTACAAGTCAGATGGTACCCTGGATAAGTATAAGGCTTGACTTGTAGCTAAGGGTTATACTAAGAAACCCAATATATATTTTGTGAACACTTACTCTCTAGTTGCGAAGTTTACATCCATTCAGATTCTTATAGCAATTGTTGCTAGAATAGATTTAGAACTTCATGAATTAGATGTCAAAACATCATTCTTAAATTGAAATTTGTGGGAAGATATCTACATGATTCAACCCAAAGGATATCATGTCAAAGGACATGAAAACAAAGTCTACAAATAAAGAAAGTCGTTGTATAACCTTAAATAATCATCAAGATAATGGTATTTAAAGTTCCATCAAGCCATTATGGAAATGGGCTATAAAATAAATCCATTAGATCATTGTGTTTACTCTTAGGAGTGCCAAGATAATTTATGTATGTTGTCACTATATGTAGATGACATCTTACTTGCAGGTAACTCCATAGATATGATTGAAAAGAATAAGTCGTATCTGGGATCCAAATTTGAAATGAAAGATATGGGAGAAGCATCTTATGTTATAGGAATTAAAATTACTAGGGATAGAGATGCCAAATCGCTCTATTTAGATCAACAAAATTATCTAGATAAAATATCTAAAAGACATAATATGAAAGATTGTAAGCCAGTTAGTACACCTATTTGTAAAGGAATGATGCTTTCCAAAAATATGTGCCCGGTAACGAAGCAAGACATCATTGATATGCAAAATGTTTCGTATGCCCAAACAGTTGGAAGTTTGATGTATGCTATAACCAACACAAAACAGTTGGATTGGTAAGTGGATATCAATCCAAACCTGGACAACAACATTAGATGACAGTCAAGAGAATTATTAGAAATCTAAAAGGCACTCAAGGTATGAAACTTTGTTTCGGATTAAATGATCTGGATGATAGAAAGTCAACAAGTGGTAACATTATCTTGTCTGGTGGAATGGCTGTTTCTTGGTTAAGTAAGAAACAGGATTGTGTTGCAAAGTCTACCATGGAAGAAGAAAATATATCTTATAGCACATCGATAAGTACTGCAATATGAGCTAAATGCTTTATTGATAATTTAAATATAGGTATACCTAAAGAGCCCGTCAATGTGTTTTGTGATAATAAGTCCGCCATCTTTCTGATAAAAAGTGGAGCAAATAGTTCCAAAGGAAAAGACATTGATATTAAATATCACTATATACAAGACATAGTGGAGAGAGGAGAGGTAAATGTCGACTACATACCCTCCGAAGAGATGGTGACTAATCCGATAACCAAGGGATTGTCTCTAGAAAAAATCAGAGAGCATGTGACTACAATGGGTTTGCAAAACATCTAGATGTGTTGTAGTGTGAGACGTGTGGCGGGCATCGTTGTATGGGTTCAAGGACGCCTAAAATATAGACAAATAGATGCGACTCCATCTAGTCTTTAGTAATTGATCGGTTAAAGATAGAGGGCACTAGCGAGATAATCAGGTTATAATAAATCGTCTTGAAGGTAAAATCCGTTATAAGCTTCAAGAAATAATTTATATAACACTGTGGCGTATAGTGTGAGACTAAGTCATCATTTGTAATGGGTACAAATTGTTTTCTTAGTCACTTGGATATGATGCCATTTTACTAAAGAGTAAAATGTTATCAGATAAAGTTGAATGGTGCGCACCAAGTAAATAAGTCACATATGTTACATTGAATTTGTTTATGAGTAATACTCTTGATAAACAAATCAGAATAGGAAACCATTTATGTCATCATAATCAAGTGGGAGATGTTGAAATATGATTACGATAACATGGTTTTCAAAATATGTGTAACATGTGTGAAAGTACACCATAACATTGGTGTACTAGCTAATATATATATATATATATATATATATATATATATATAATTGTAGTGAAATAAGTTAATTAATTACAAAAGGAAATAATATAACTATTTATTTAATTAATTAACTTTAAAAGGATATGAACAATTGTATCTGAACGTGAAAAGTTATAACTTCCTCTAAAGAATACAACTCTTCTAGAAAGATTATTTCTATCTCTATATATTTGTCAAATTCCTTCATATCAGATTCATTTAATTCCATACTTACTCTCTGTTTATATTCTTCATACTATATTGTGATCGATAATCTAAACGACATCCGTTTCCGATCACGTGAACTACCCAATTTCTATCACAGCGCACCTGCATCACTGCCCGGTTGCCCTGTACCCCTAGGACAATCCTTTCAGAAAGAACCATCATCAAGCCACTAGCTAAATTTTCTTAAAAGCACCAGCAACTTTGGGATGCTCAACCGCGGTTTTCATTTCATCAATCAAATAGACAATTCCATCCTCGACAAACCATGGATGGAATGCAGCATAGCAAGCATAGATGGACATATGATCGAATCGAAGCGTATTCCCTTTCTCTGATTTTAATTTTCTTGATAGCTGTGCTGTTGGGGATAACTACTCCGTTCATGATCATCCATGCTGCACTCTCAACTTTCATATAACAGGTTTTCATTTAATCAATTTAGTTTTGTTTTGGATAGGTGTAAAGATAAAGTACATTTTGAATTGGATTTGTGAGGGTAGTTTAGGAAGTAAATTTAGGTTTAAAAAGATTTTGATAGTTTAATTTTTTTTTAATATAGATGTAAAAAGTAAGTTGGGTGTAAAAAAAGGTTATATATATTCAAATAAAATTTTCCCATTGCATTTGGATTTTATTTTTCATATCCATACTGGCAAGAATGGACCACATAATCAATGTGATCGTCAATTTTTTTCTCTTTCTTGGGCATTTTGCAACCTGCACAAGGAAGCCTTGAATTTTTTTCTATAAGACAGACTAGGGTTCACTCGTTTCATCCAAGGCTGGTTGCGTCTGCATTCTGCTTTTTTATTTTTTTAACAAACGATAATATCTACACACTAAGGGAGAGAAAATGTGTTTAGCCTCATAATAAGCTAGCAATAATTTGGTTCAAATCGAGAATCGAATCTAAGATCCTTCACTTACAAGTGAAGAGAAATACAACTAGACCGTAGTACTAAGTGACGCATCTACATTCTACTTGGATTCGAGCGTGCATTGCTGTTTGGGCCTGGATTCTTGCAATTGGTGGCGGCTTCCTGTGTGTTGCATTTTGCAGCTGTTTTTTGCAAGTTTCTGTCCGTTCCGCTTTAGATTCTTGAAATGAAGTTAATCATCAAATTGTAGGAAAAATGCTTAATCAAATTCTTAAAAAGAACATATGTTTAATTAACGAATTGAAAAATGAGGCACATTAGACTATTATAATGGGAGTTTCTGGGCGTGGATACCTTGAATAGTCAAATTATGTAATGGGAAATAATTTTGAATGACACTAAAGTAGAGACTATTATATGTTTTTTGACAAAATATTCCCCATTAGACTACGAGGAGAGGGAATACAGAACTTTATGCCAAAATAAAATGCTCTTAAGCAACGAAACTAAAAGTCACTTGCACTATAAATTATTGTATGAACACCATGCAAGTTTGAATATTAAATTGACTTTTCGTATGAAGAGGAAAACTAAAACCAAAACCATTTGTCTAGTGAATATTTTCTCTTTTCAATTTCCACCCACGTGATAAACATAACCAATGACCACTCTAATTTTTTTATCAAATTGCTTCCACTAAATTTTGACAGCTAACAACCTAACATATTGAATATTAGTATGGTGGCGTCCCATCGCCCTTTTACGTGGCCTAGTATCCCTCACCCTAAAAGTCTACAAGCCTGTAAGATTATAACACATATTTAACCATTTTCCTTTCCTTTTAAATTCACTATAAATTCAAAATAATTGAAAATTATTTAATAAGTGTTGTGGACTTATAATAATTTGTACTTTCATTTCATACTGTTAATCCACTAATATTAAATATATTTAATAAATTTATTTAAATATGTTTAGGCGCTAGGGTCTAGGCCACCTCTCAACTAACGCTTAGCGTTTTTTAGAATTTCAGTCAAAAATAAAAAAATAAACAATAAAATTAAGAGAACAGTTTAACCTAGTAAATCCAAGAATTTTTAGCATATAAATGAATGTAGACAGCTTAGCTAGATGCACAAGAACTTTGATAAAAAAAAAATAAAAAAAAGCACAAGCACTAATCCAATGGCTTCTCTAGAGGAACCAAAAGGCCTTCCTAACATTCCTCTTGATGACGAAGTAAGGAAAGAAGAAGAGAGCTATTGCCATGCACTGCAGCTGGTGGTTTCTTCTGTGCTGTCTTTCTCCATGCAATCAGCGATTGAGCTAGGCGTTTTTGACATCATAGCAAAAGAGGGTCTAAATGCCAAGCTCTCTTCATCTGAGATTGCAGTTCACATCGGCACCAAGACCCCTAACGGACCCATGATGCTAGATCGAATTCTAGCTGTCCTGGCCAGCAACTCTGTCCTCGATTGCACGGTTGTTAACGGTAAAGTTGACAAGTGTTTCCGAAGGCTCTACAGCCTTACCCCTGTGTCCAAGCAATTTGTGACTACTGTAGATGGTGTTTCCTTAGGCCCTGTATTGGCTATGTTTCAAGACAAGGTTTTCTTAGAAAGCTGGTATGTTTTTTTTAGTCAATACTTGTTGCTCAATTAGATTTTGAAAATTGGGCATTTTCATGTATGGATGAAGCGGATTAAAATGTGTCCCAGATTTGTTGATCATGAGCTTCGTACATACATGAATGTGTCCCATATTTGTTGAAGGATCGGATAAAAATAAGGTTACCAATTTCCATTCCAAAATTTTTGGATCGATTCGAAACTTTAAAATTTGAAACTTTTAAATTATTCAAAATTGCAGTTATCTCTTCTCAGGAAAAAAAAAAAAAAAAAAAAAAAAAAAAAAAAAAAAACAATCCTAGTTATCTCTGAATTTTCAGAACATAATTCATAATTCATTTATAATTTATAAGTTTTCATATCTTGAACAATTCAATATATGTAATATACCGTAAGACCCTTCTAAAGTAATACTCTTTAATAGAATAATTTCCTTAAAGTCATAAAAAATTTTGGTCCTATCTTGGGACTAATTATGTATTGGAATAAGCTTCATATTCTAAGAAGTTATAATTTTTCTTCATCTCATCTTAAGGAAACACCCCTCAACATAATTATAATTGTCTATGAGTACAAAAATATGTAGAAAACAAAATATTTGGCGCCCAACTAAATCTTATTTAGGAAATACAATATTAATTAAGGATAAATAAAACAATAAATAATATTTTTTTTTTTAACTAGAACTCCATCCAGTAATAACCTCCCTAAAGTTATAAAATTAGTTTTGTAGAGAGGTTTTACTCTATTGTTCTTTCTTAATTAATATTTGGTACATACTTGTGTATACATTCCGTTAATTTTGTAGTATACTTAGATGTTTATCATTTTTAATATGTATGTGTGATTTTTTAATGAAAAATAAGTGTCAGATTAAACATAAAGAAACACTATGAAATTAAGGGACATTTTGATTACACCCAGTCAACTCACAATATTATGGAAATACCCCATTCATTTTCTTTGTTAATCAATGTTATAATTTTTATTTTATGCCCATCCTATCCCTTAATTAAATTATGGAAGTTAATTGAGATCCCTAATTTTTTAATCAACTTTTTACTATTTTAAATTTCGACCTCAAACAGTGCATGCAGTGCAATACATCTAAACGGAAAGAACTGTTTTATTAACACCTACATATTGTTGAATACACTTTACATTTAATTTTTCAATTAAAAATTATCTTAACACACTCACATGCTTTCTCATAATACCTGCATGCCCCACACTCTCAACGTAACATTTTCTACATCTAAACAAAAATGTCAAATACTAAAATTACAAATAAATAATGAAAATACCTTACAAACAGGTGCAAAATTCTTGATAAGAAAAAAAAGAAAAAAAAATTATATAACCATAATATATCTACGACTGAGAAAATAAAATGATGATACAATTATCTACCTATATAAAATATTATTCGCCTACTTAAAAGATTTGAATCACTTTACACCATTATCTATTTATAGAAAATACTTAGCAGCGTTATGTAATATGTATCTATAATAAAGATAGTTGGAAAAGATGAAAACCTTAAAAAACAGGTAAAAATTCTTCTTCTTGTTGAAAAAGATGAGATAAAAAGAATTTAAACCTAATATAAAATAATTGTTAAGAACGGAAAAATAAAAATATGATATGATTATCTACTTATAATGCAGATAGAACTATATATTGCTTACCTATAAAAAAGCTTCGAGTGATTTGATACCATTATCTACTTATGAAAAATATTTAGCAAGCTATAGCAAAGATAATTTACATGTTCCAAAACCATGTATCTTTCATATTGGTATTGTAGCCACTAGCAGAGAGGCAACTAGCAATCCAACAAAAAATAATTTTCTATCAAATTAATGTATCCAAAACTAAGAATGAACATGATAAAAATAAAAATTTGTATTTTTGATAAATTAAACTTTAAAGTTGATTGCAAAATATATAAATTTAGTAAATGTCTATAAAATAAAATAGAATATTTCAGAAATTGTTATTGAAATAAGTTAGAACACTTTCGGAAAATCCTAATAATTTTCGAATTTTCGAATCTCAATATGCATTCCAATTTCCATTCACTTTTTACATGAAAGTTTTATTCATTGGATTAGAAATTTAATGATAGAATCGAAAATTACAATCCAACTTGCCCCCTTGTCCAACAACACACACACAGAGGAAACTTTAATCATGAACTATAAATCCAGACTTACAAAATAGACGATTCAGATTGTTAAAGTTTGATGTGGAGTAAGTCCCACAACTAATTCTCATTTTTTTAATGAAAATTCCTACTCTTAAAGGGCCTATATATATATATATATATATATATGGATCTGACAATACAACATTACTCATAACAGTAGCTATCTAACTCAAATTTAGTGAACATCTATAGGCCTCATCTGAAAGATGCAATTATTGAAGGAGAAAATCCATTTGACAGAGCGCATGGCATGCACGCTTTTAAGTACGCAGGTGTCGACCCTAGGTTTAACAAAATGTTCAACAAGGGAATGTTCAACTGGACCACCATACTTATGAAGAGGATTCTTGATCTCTACAAAGGGTTTGAGCACGTTACGCAGCTTGTTGATGTTGGTGGTAATTTGGGAGTAGCAATTAGTCTAATCACTTCTAAATATCCACATATTAAGGGCATTAATTTTGACTTGCCTCATGTTATAAAACATGCCCCATCTTATCCTGGTATGATTTTATTAAATTTATAGTCTAATGGTCTATGATTTGGATTCTATGTTTTCCATTTTTGTTTAATCTATGATTTGGAATTCATGTTTTTTCCATCATAAACATTGTAGTTAATTTATTTTCCAGGAGTGGAACATGTAGGAGGAGATATGTTTGAAACTATTCCGAATGGGGATGCCATTTTTCTGGAGGTGATTTTTAAATTATTGACATGAACAAAGTAATAATATAAGTTTGGGAAATTTTCTATTTATTTTATCTTATATACAAAAAAACTTTCTTCCAATGAAAATAAAAAAAGAGTCACTAAATCAAATGTTCATTAATTGAAACTTTTCTATATATAATTTGCTATAAAAAAATGCGCATAGAAATTAATAATTCCATTTTTTTGGGACTATTTTGTAGTTCATACTTCATGGCTGGAAGGATGAAGACTGCATAAAATTATTAAAAATTTGTTACAATGCAATTCCGGACGATGGAAAAGTGATTGTGGTGGAGGCACTTCTCCCAATTAAGCCGGAAACTGACCTACCTATGAGCGTAACCGCCCTATTTGATGTGCATATGATGACTCAAACCGGGGGAGGGATGGAGAGGAGCCCAGAAGAATTCATGGCCCTGGCAACTGGTGCTGGATTTAGTGGCATCAGATTTGAATGTTTTGCCGCTAATTTTGGGGTGATGGAATTCTACAAGTAGACAAGAGTGCTTTTAAAAAATAATGAAGTTTTGGGTTATGATATTGACAATCGTGTTTTTTTTTTTTTTTTTTTTTTTTTTTTGTTCTTCTGAAGTTTATTTTCTATCCTAAAAAGTAAGAGTTATTGCAGTCATATTTAGAATAGAAATGTAATTGTGTAAATCTTAGTAGATATAGGAATGTATCTTATATTACTATTAGGAGTTGATTACCTATTAAGAGTTGTAATCCTAAAGGGAAAAGTTTTTGCCTATCCTACTACTATAAATAAAGGCACAATGGGGTGACTCAAACACACCTCACAATTAAATCAGTCTCTCTTCTCTCTAATTGCCGCCAGCCCCCTCTCTCTCTCTAATCCCCTGGATTAGTTCGATCAGATAGGCCTATAACACATTATCAGCACGCTCTTGATAAAAGCTGAGGAATCGACAGATTGTAGGAGGAGGCTATCTTCCACAAAATTCAAAGGCTTCTCTTTGTTTTCTATCAATCAAGTACACTTAAAATAAAGGAAGATATTTGAAACGTCCACGAAGCATGAAAACATTTCCCATGATGCATGAACCCCTCTATGTTTTTATTTTCCTTACGATATCTATATTGTAAATGTTCATATATTTGTCAATATATATTTGTTTCACGCATTACGCAATTAAATTGCTATGTGGAATTGTGAGTCAAAGCATATAAAATAAATTAGAAGCAATTTAGGGTTTCCTAAACCCCAGGGATATTGAAAAAAGTTTTTTTTGCACTGGGCACTGTGCGGCACCACCGCTGCAGCACCCACCGTGGCACCATGGACCATCGTTGGCCTGAAGCCCAGTCGAGTGGATCACACAACATCAGACTGTGGGTTTGCTGCGCTGACCCAGACAACCCAGGCCTTCAGTCTGCTTAGCTCTACAGCGCCCGAAGTCCCTTAAGCCTAACCAAGAAAGCCTGCAGCCTTCTTGGCCCGTTGTCCCATGGTTTAAAGCCTACTTGAAGTAACCCGTAGCTCATTGGGCTGTGTCATGCGCCCCAGCCTGCTTCCCGCAGCTTTGTCTACTGGGTTGAGTCTTACCCCGTCCTGGACCTAGCCTCGGTTGGGTTCCCTATGTGAATCTAAGGCCAGCAATATGCAGGGCCTGACCCGTGCCCCCTATCAGCCCACATAAGCCAACAGTCTTCTACTGGGCTTCAAAACCTTCAACTCATGGCCTGTAGCCACTTGTGGGCTGTTTTTGCAACCTTTCCGAGCCCAAACCTTTTTTTTTTTGGGCTATGATTTTTCAACCCACTGCTATTAATAATTTTAACCGGAATGTTACTATTATTTTTGCTTCCACAATCGACCTCAGTTGGTCCCGATCTATTAAATTAATTAAAAGTGACCTGCAGTCCATTAATCTGATAATGAATCCAAAATTATTGACCTGAAGATCACTTTGGACATTAACAATTCAATAATTTATTTTCATACTTTGAACCGTTGACATACTTTCTTAATAACGAAGCTCTCACACTTGAGTTCTCGAAGAAACTCAAACCCACTATACTTAAGTCAGCATATTACATTCTGTGTTTCTTGCAGGAACCTCTCCTTATGAACTAATCGTTCATAAAAACAAAATTGAACCTGTAGTTTCATATTTAGTGCCATTAAAACCTGAAGTTTTCATTCAAAACATACCACATGAAACCTGAAGTTTTCATTCAAAACATACCACATGAAACCTGCAGTTTCATGCATAAATTAAACCAATACAGGTCTATAGAACATGTATGTTCTACAATATATGTCTATTGATTACCATATGACTAATCACGTTTTTTTCCCTCCGCTTTAGGGATATGTTGAACTTGAACAAGCTTGATTTCACCATTCTAGAAGTCTTTAGAAGAAACTATCTGAAGTGGGTTCAAGACGTGAAGCTCCATCTAACTACAAAGGGTATTAGAGCCACCATTGAGGCACCTTCCGACGACAAACCTAATGACGAAGCTTAGAAAGTTACTGCAATGATCTTCATTCGAAGACACATCCATGATGATGTACCTCGCTGAGGAGGACCCATTCACCTTTTGGCTTACTCTGGCGGACTGTTTCGATCAAGGGATATGTGCTACCACTGTGGATTAAGGGATCATTGGTCACGCATATGTTGAGCTTCCTCCGAGGTTATTGCCAAGTATCATTCTCGTCATGAGTCTAAATTTGCACATGTGGATCATACGGAAAATGCTACTACATCAATGGAGATATCAAATTTTCAGGAGGTGTCAGCACCTATGGATGAATAAATTAGACATGTTTTTAGGGTGTTTACCCCTAGTGGCCGAACCCACTAGGAGGGGCTAGCCCCTTTCCCCTATTTTTCTAGGTTTATGGTTTAATTTTGAACAATTTTTCTAAGTATTTGGAATAATTTGTTTGGTTTTGGTTTGTTTTGAATAATGGATTATTATGTTATGGATATTATTTCTCGAATTGCTTAATTGAATGAATGGACTTATATTTATGCATGTGACCAATTCAATCAATTTATTTCTAGGTATGTCTAGTGGGGAAGTTAGTTGTCTGGCAGATAGTGCAACCACGCACACCATCTTGCATGAACGACACTATTTTACTAACTTGATACCCAAGAAAGCTCATTTGACAACTCTCATAGGCTCATCCAACCTGATTAAAGGATACGGAAAGGCCTGTATCATGTTGTCCTATGGTACAATCTTAACCGTTAAGAAGGCACTCTATTCTCCATGTTCAAGAAGAACGTTGCTGAGTTTTAGAGATATTCAAGATAATCAATATCATATTAAAACCATTGAAGATAATGGTTCTGAATTTATTTGTATCACTTTGTATGAATATGGCCAGAAGGGTATACACAAGAAGTTGGAACGTCTCCCGAGTGGGTTGTACGCCACAACCATTCGTGGCATAGAAGCCCACAGTGTGACCGGCCCTATGCCCGAGTTCCAGGACACTTTGCTGCTTTGGCATGGCTGTTTGGGACATCTTGGACGTGACATGGTGCGCTGTATCCTCAAATCATCACATCGGCATCGGTTACCTCCTTATGTTGGATTCCCGCCATGCAAAGCGTGTTCTATAAGGAAGTTGAATACTCAAGCCTCACATATAAAGATTATTCACGACCCCCTTAGGTTTCTTCAAAGGATTCAAGGGGATATTTGTGGACCTATCCAACCAACATACGAACCATTTAGATACTTTATGGTGTTGTTTGATGCATCGACACGATGGTCATATGTTTGCCTATTGTCCACACGCAATGTTGTGTTTGCTAAACTCCTAGCTCAAATCATTAAGCTAAGGGCTCACCACCCTAATTATCCGATTAAGTCGATTCGACTAGATAATGCTGAAGAGTTTACGTCACAGACTGTTGACGATTATTGCATGTTAGTAAGGATTGATGTGGAACATCCTGTACCCCATGTTCACACCCAAAACGGCCTGGCAGAAGCTTTCATAAAGCGCCTTCAATTGATAGCTCGGACTTTGGTTATGAGAACCAAACTGCTTATATATGCCTGGTGCTATGCAATATTGCACGCACCTATGTTGGTCTGCCTGAGGCCCACCGCTACTCAACCACATTTACCGTTATAGTTGGTCACTGGATACAAGCGTGACGTTTCGCATTTACGGGTGTTTGGGTGTGCTATTTATGTGCCAATAATGCCACCGCCATCATTAGGGGGAGATAAACATGCTAATGTTCCTGGAGAACGCCACAAATTATCGTGGTATGCTCCCAATATATCTCATTTAGATCCCCGCACTACCCAGTCTGAAAACTAAGGTGCGACGAATTATAGATCTTAGAGCATTGCTCAAAGCATGCCGGTTGCTTTTATGATCTAGCAAAGGTGATAAGATCACATATACCTGCTGCAAATGCACCTGCAAGGATATATGTACCCCGCGTACATCCACAACCCATCTAGGAAGGCCGGACCATCCCTGAAGGTAGGGAGGCCACACCTTCCACGCGGCAAGGTACATTAGCGGCTATCCAATAAACTGCTCCGACCTTGAAGCGTGGCAAACCCTTTGGTTTAAAGGATTCATAAACTCGGAAGAGAAAAATGGCACCAACTAGTGACCCTAGTTTGAATCCGACCATCGCTCACTTATCTTTTCCAATGCATGAGGTTATTCTAGATTATGGTTATGCTTCAGACGAAACATGCTGACCTCTTGTGAACCGCAAGATTTTAGTCCACTACGCAGTATTGGATGAGGTTTGGAATCATAATGAGATGATCGCCGACGATGTATTTGCGTACATAGTAGTTACTGACATCATACTTAGCGATGACATTGAACCACGTTCAGTCGATGAATGTTGACGTAAAATCGATAGGTCAAACTAGAAACAAGCAATCCAGGTCGAACTTGATTCGCTCGTGAAACGTAAAGTGTTTGGACCTATTGTTCCTACACCGCCATATGTGAAGCTCGTTAACTACATGCACAATAAAAAGCATGCCTCGTAGCGCAAAGTTTCTCTCAGCACCTTGGGATTGATTACGAGGAGACGTATTCCCCCGTAATAGACATTATAACGTTCCGCTACCTTATCAGTTTGGTACTTTCCGAAAAACCGAATATGCAGCTTATGGACGTGGTAACAGCGTATCTCTATAGGGATCTAGATACGAAAATATATATAAAAGTTCCAAAAAGACTTCCATTAACTGGTTTAAATAGTTCCACTACTACAATATATGCTATCACCGGCGGAGGAAAAACCGGCGAGAAACCAAATTTCTGTCGGAAATTTGGCACAAATCCGACATTAAACAATGTAATGTCGCATTGGAATAGCGACACTATTGCTAGCGTCACGAAAGGACTTTAGTGTCTCTTTTTGGGCTTAATCCGCCACTACACAGCGTCGGTTTAAAGCGACACTAACACAGCGTCGGTTTAAAGCGACTCATACTTACACCTGCATCAGCTATTTAATTGTAAAGT